GGGGGGGGTTGCAAGGCTTACGGGGGAGGGGGGAACACAGGAGGGAGGGTTATGACGTTATCATGATAAACTGTCAACGGTTATCGGTTGGAAGGTGTGACGTGACACAGTGTGGTCCCACCTACAGCGCGCCAAAACCAAGCAGCCCCGAGATCATACACGATCACTGATTCTCTCAACGATCATCTTGATACTGCCCTGTATTGTACATCTTGGCCTCCCGTGGCTCCCTCTTTACTTCGGGCAGCTGTAACGAAACTTAAGATAACCAACCTCCTCCCTCCTCACTCCCTCTTCTTTTCCCTTATTCCTTCCCTCCCCATCCACCTCCCTCCCTCCCCTCTCCCCATCCATTCTGCTGTTATTGTAATAAAAGATGTGAATATTTTATAGGCTATTGTTAAAACCCTGCTAAACAAATTTCTGCGAAGAATTGTAAACGTCCTCTTTTCCCTCTGATCTGAGACATAAGGAAGAGGATAGGTTGGCCCCGGAGTCTATACTTAGCGAAATATTAGGTTTTAGGATAGGGAAACCCCAGTGTCATCGTAGTAAAATAAGTACATTCAGCCTATTGGTTTAATGAAAGATTGGTGGACCCCTGAAATAAGTAGGTTTTTAAAATTAATCCATGACCATGCCTTTCGAATCTATCTTCTGACTGTCTTGTGACAACTGCCTTCCTCAAAACACACCCAATGACAAATTCAAAGATACATGTAGTTAGTGTTGCTAGGTACCCGTTGTTAGATCTAGATCTATGCTTAGGCCTACTCCTGATTTGGTCAAATATGCGGAGATTTACAACAAAAAAGACACCTACAAATCAGTCTTTTAAATGTAAAAGTAAAAAATATTGTACAAAAATTACAATTTAATGTCAAACCGAGTTTGTCCGACATCATTCTTTCCCTTATAAAATAGATATACATTGTATATTGATATTAGCTAGCTTCGGGCCTTCCCTAACATGACGATGTCAGACAGCATTTCATTGGTCAGGGGTCCGCCCATCCAAAAAAGTCTGCAAATGTGTCGGAGGCCCAAGTAGACCCCGGTGTCCACCTATCTTCTGTGTGGTCGGTGGTTGGTGGGTGCTCTGATGTGGTTAGCTCCCTCTTTCCCATTTTCGTTCCAAATGTAATCTATCGTCCTTATCTGTCCTCCATGTTACTGTCTCGTATCACTTCTAGTCTTTGACACTTATGGACTAATTATTGTGTTGCAAGTGCCGTTAAACACTAACTAAAACTAAACTAAAAGTGAATGAACTGTGTGCTGAATTCCTTCTCATTTTCTCCAGCTCTAGATCTAGCCAGTCTTCGAAGAAGTTGAAAAGGTATTATAAACAGTCTGGTGTCTTTCTTGCCTGTCACTGATTTCACCATTGGCTGTAGACATTTGGTTGTCTTTCCTCCCAGTGCACGCTGACTATAGGTGTGAGTCGGGACTGACTAGATTAGAAGCGTTAAACAGTAACATTTTAGAATAATTCAGCTGAATTCCACTAAATTCGACTCTGACTTTCAAAATCGAACGCTTTGCATTTTTAAGGTTGTGAGTCGAACTGGTGATATTGGTTGGCCCCGACTCAGTTTGATTGAATCCGACTGTCAGTGTGCAGGGGGTCTAAGAATTGTTGTCTCTGTTTATCACTGATTTCACCATCGGCCGTTGTTGACTTCTGATGTTTGTATTTTTGATAATATAATGCACACAATGTCCTCCTCTCACTTTTTCTTTCTAACTCTCTCTCTCTCTCTCTCTCTCTCT